GTTGGTATTACTGTTTGTGTTTAATGCTATAAATTTACTTAAGATAGCGAGGCCATTAATAAGCCACTAGGATTGCTTATGCCATTTCTATTCATGCATTATTTTCTCTTTTCCTTCCATTTGTCACAACTGCTGTGACTGGGGCAGTCAAGGAGGAAATGGATCAAAAAGAGGACAGCTGCTTGTTTAAGATTTGCATATGCTAACTTATATGTGGAGATGCAAAAATAGAAATAACAACTATAATCTAAATAGAAATACAATACATCTCACAATAGCAGAGAAAGCCTGAGCAGGTGAACTATGTGTCTGTTCTGGCAGCTTCCAGGTGTGCGTCTGCCTTTCTAAGACATTTTTAAGTCCTCTAAATAGAGAACACCTTGAAATAGAGGACTGTCATCTGTAGGGTAGTACATCTGGCTACCCTAATTGTTTTTCTCAGAGGGGCAGAGCTTCAGATCCAAGAGCCAAGAGCCAAAATCTCTGGTGCTCCTGGGGGCCCCAGATCATGCCACCCTCATTCTCATGGCTTCCCGGCTTTTGCACAGTTCTTCCCCCATTGTAAAAGACCTTTCCTGAGATGTTGATACTGGCAAAGGGACATTTAACTTAAAATGTCCAAGTCTCATTGGCACGTCAGTCCCACCTGATACTGGAATGTGGTCCCCAAAATGGAATTCTGCCCTGAGGCAGAAAGACATTCCGCACCTGTTTCAAAGTTCATAGAATCATAGAATATGGAATTGGGAGGCCCTGTTGAGGCCACTGGGTCTCCCCCACCCACCTCCACCCACCCAGAGGGGGAATCCAAACAATACTCTCTGGAATTCCTTGGTGGAATGCACTCCACACAGTCTGCCCACCAAACACACTCTATTCAACCCAGTCTTTCTGCTGAGCTCCCTCGGGCCATGGCCCTTCTCTTCTTAGGCCAGAAACTGTGCTGTTGCCCTTAAGAACTTCCTTGTTCCTCCCAGAAAGCTCAGCCCACTCTGGCTGAATCCTGTACGTAGTCCTTTTGTATTGTTACAGCATCCTGTTCTATATGGTGAAGCTGTAGTATTGAAGAATAAAGGCCTGAGGCTTGTAGAGAAGGGCCCTCTGTGGACTGTGACCTTGGGCCTGTAAACCAGTTCCATTAGGGTGGCTGCCCGGTGACAGTAAGCTGCTGAAACATCCTCAAGAGTTTTAAAAATCTTATGCAGAGCCTCTGAGTCTCCAGTGTGGGATTCCAATGGCCCAGCGCTGGTCTTGGCTGGGAACTTCTTCCTGTGAGTGTTTTACATTCCATTGCTATGCAATAAATCTCTGTTCTTTCTAATCTTTCAGTGAATGTATAGCAATTATAGAACCACACAAATTAATGCCTAACTTTTCTGAAAAACTGCCAGCACATGAGAATGTGCAGGAAATTCTCTTAGTCAGAAATGGAATTCTCAGCCATTGAAGCACTCACAATTTTAAAATCAGATATATCTGGCATGACTGGCAGGCCCAGCAACATATTTTATGGGCTTGATTGTGTGGGACATACTGGCTGGCTGGCATTAACCCCAGGTGGGTGGGTCATGTCCCCAACAGTATCACTGAGCCAAGTTGCGTACAGAGGGATTGAGCAATCACTTGACGGGTTTTCTAGTTCCAGCTTCTCAGGTGAACATGGGAACCACCTGAATTCAAATGCACCAATCAGCTTTGGTGGTGGGAATTTCAAACCAAGGACCCTCTGCCATGGCGGGCTGGTCAGTAAAACTATAAAAGGGGACTGCACCAGTGTTCTGGGTTGATTGCCCTTTTGCTTGTGATTGAACTATTCTTGAGAATAAAATCAGTATTTTCCCCTCTTGTTCTTGCTATGCTTGACTGGGCTAGTTCACCAAGACCAGATCCCTTGCGTCCTACAATTGTTTCTCAGTGAGTAGATCTAAACTTCATGTACTAACACTTCAATTCCGTGGCTTCTTTCATCAGTTAAATTGCTAAATTGTTGTACCTGTGTAATATGATGTGTTTCTAAGCAATGACTACAACAGAAAATTGTAGTGTCTCCTCACCTCCTAACAGGAGTGCTCGCCCTTAGGGTCTTAGGCAGCCAGCCAATCAGCCATGCCTTCTTTAACCAAGCCATCGCATTTACCCAGTCCCAGTTTGTACATACCGCCCCCTTTGTGTAACCTTCTACATTTTAGCTCCCAAGCATGCCCAGAGGGGGATTTAGGATTTTTAAAGTTTTTTCCCCCTTTTTAAACACCCTTTCTGCAAACCCCAGCTTCCCTTTGAACATTCTGGTCACACTTTGGCCTTGTTTTGGCTCCAGTCCTGTTGGCAGGTACCAATTGAATTTGCTATTAGAGTGAGTGATGTCTGTTTTTATCTTTATGTAATGGTAATGACATTATGCTGACATTGCTGTGGTGTCTCCTTCCTCCTCTTTCACATCTCCTGAATTAAATGCATTTTAGTATGTTAGTAAAGCTAACAGAGATAATTTATGCAGTGTCCAGATCAACTGTGCTTTCAAAATATCATGTGGTACAGCAGAGATTCACTGCCTATGCCATGCAACCGACCCAGGCTGCTCCATTCTGTTGCTTTTAATCAACTACTAAACCTTATCTTCTTTCCCAGGGTTAAATGAAACACTTTTCGATTTTTCTGTTAAGAAGCAACTGAGAATCTGAAACCCTACCTTATCTACAGCATAAATGGCTTTTACTCATGATGTCAACAGTGAGAAAAACAACACAGTCCTTTTTATAAAACATATTTCCATTGACTGCATTAAGCCAATGGAAATGTTTGGTGGAAAAAAATAGCTATCCTTTGCCCTGAGTTTTCCTATTGTTTTATTGTAGCTAATTAAAAATTCATTACAAAAAGGACATGATGTGATTATTGCTCTAGGTACTGCTGGAACGGTAATTAACAAACAAGAACAAAATCCACATTCTGAGAGCTTATATTTGGGCTGGAGGGTTGATAGTGTCGGTGTAGGTGTCACTGTTCAGCCATTACTAAGACTGCAGCCCCAAACACACTTACCAGAAGCCCTGATGGGGCTTACTCCTGAGTACACCTGCACAGAATTATGCTGTAATCAGCTAAGGCTAATCCTCCTGTAAGATACTGTTGCTTCTATTTGGATGTCTTGAAAGCAAGAGCAACAGACTAGGGAGTACAAGTCATTGTAGGGCTTCCGGTTTACCCGATATGCAAGAGGCAAAATGCTTAAGGTCATTCATGTACAACATCCACACTGCATGTCATAGAATCATAGAATAGTAGAGCTGAAAGGGGCCATGAAGGCCATCTGGTCCAATCCCCTGCTGTTGCAGGACACCAGGTATGCATAGTCAAATCCAAAGTGTCAGCATTTGATCACTTGTTGTTGTTGTTAGTCACAAAGTCATGTCCGACGCATCACGACTCCATGGACAACATTCCTCCAGGCCTTCCTGTCCTCCACCATCCCCTGGAGTCCACTTAAGCTCACGCTGACTGCTTCAGTGACTCCATCTAGCCACCTCATTCTTTGCCATCCCCTTCTTCTTTTGCCTTCAGTTGTTCCCAGCATTAGGCTCTTCTCCAGGGAGTTCTTCCTTCTCATTAGGTGGCCAAAGTATTTGAGTTTCATCTTCAGTATCTGACCTAAAGAGCAGTCAAGGTTGATCTCCTCTAGGACTGACCGGTTTGATTGCCTTGAGGTCCAAGGGACTCACAGGAGTCTTCTCCAGCACCACAATTCAAAGGCCTCAATCCTTCGGCACTCAGCCTTCCTTATGGTCCAATTTTTACAGCCATACATTGCAACTGGGAAAACCATAGCCTTGACTATACACACTTTTGTTGGCAGGGTGATGTCTCTGCTTTTTAGTATGCTGTCTAGATTTGCCAGTGCTGTCTAGATTTGCCATAGCTTTCCTCCCCAGGAGCAAGCGTCTTTTAATTTCTTGGCTGCAGTCCCCATCTGCGGTGATCTTGGAGCCCAGGAAAATAAAATCTGTCACTACCTCCATTTCTTCCCTATCTATTTGCCAGGAAGTGAGAGGACCAGATGCCATGATCTTAGTTATCTTAATGTTGAGTTTCAAGCCAACTTTTGTGCTCTCCTCCTTCACCCACATCAACGGGCTCTTTAGCTCCTCTTCACTTTCTGCCGTTTAGTGACATTTGATCACTAGCATTTTGGGTAATGCTATCTGGGCACAGCCAGTACAAAGTATGTGTATAACTATACTTGAAATAGTAGCGAAATTGCCAAATGCGTTTCTTGACACAGTAGTAGGGCACCCACTGACTCCTGCCACTTATGTCCCCATGTTCTGTTGAATGCCTGAAAGAGCCTCTCATGTGCATACAGCTGCATGCATGTGGGCTTTTCCACATGATTGTGAACCCTCATGAGTGGGGATCCTAAGATCTGAGACAGAGGCCCTCCTCCAGGAGCCATCCTTGAAAGAGATCTGGAGGGTGACTACCCGGAAGAAGGCCTTCTCTGCGGTGGTGCTTCAACTGTGGAACACACTCCCCAGAGAGGTTCGCCTGGCACCAACACTTCTTTCTTTTTGGCGCCAGGCAAAAATGTTTTTATTCTCCCAATATTTTAATTGTTAATTTGTTTTAATTGGTGGTTTTATGCCTATCATTGGATACTGTGCTACTCTTACTCCTACTTTGATTTTTATTCTATTTTATTAATGTTGTTGTGAACCATCCAGAGACGTCTGTGATTGGACAGTATAAAAAGTTTTAGACAAACAAACAAATGAGCAAATACATACATATAAAATAAATAACACATGAACACAAGTAGACCTCCTTATGGTAATTTATTGAAATCAATAGGACTAGTACTAGATATACCCCATAGTTCTTCAGTGAGCGTTTACAACATCTTAGGGCATCAATGGACTTCAGTTCCTTTTTTAGTTCGAGATTCTGTTATTCTGATTTGAGGGATTTGAATGGATTTCTTTGACTTCTTGTGTTCGTAAACACAGGTGTGAAATGCATCCCTCCACAAAGGATACTTTATGCATCATCTCACTATTGGCTTGGATGCAATGAAAGTGGGCTGTGCATGTGGCATTGACTGGGTCTTCTGCAAAAAAAAGAGACACGTCTCTTCCCTGCAGCCAGAAGGCTAATGTAAGTTACAGCCACTTTAACGTTTTCTCTTCTAAAGCAATATTTTCTGACTAAAATAACACTGTTATTCTTCTGGAAATCAGTTCTGGTCTTGCCCAAGACTTACAAGGCCTTCATTTCTCAATTTGAAAAGGTATCCTGTATCATTTCTTAAAGGGAACATTTCATTATTATTTCCCGGCACTTGATACATAAGGGAAATGCTGTTTGCATATATCTAGGAGAGATTTACTGGGCTATCAAATTAGACAGGCAGCAGCGATGAAGGAACCCATGTGGTGGGACAAGTTGATTTATCATCCTGGTGCAATTTGTGTTTGGCAGTCATCACTCATCACAGTGCATTGGAAAAAAGGTGTGCTCCCTCAAAGGAAAGCCTCTGCCATCAGTCAGAGGGCACAAAGTAGGAAGTGGTTTCCTTGCTAAGTGTATGCCTATACAAACATTCTCTTCAGCCGATAAATCAGTTTTGTAGATTGCGTTCAGCTATCAAACAAAAGAAGCCCTGGGAGGAGTTTTATTTTATGCAATTATTAGTACAATCAAAATGTTAAAAACAACCACTATTGTATTTGCTGCTTTGTTCTTTCAAGTTCTCACTGTTTCAGAGAGTAGTCATGCTGCAAAACCATTTCACAGAGGAGTGGGAATTTTTAAAAGAATATATATTCTAATTTTTTAGTAGAAAGCTTTTTATATAGAGAACATTTAGTAGAATTTTAGTAGAAAGTAGTAACTTTTAGCAGAAAGTTGTGTGTGTGTGTGTAGAAGAATATGCTGTTATTTTTCTCCAGAACAAAGTCTCAGAATAAGGATACATTTAGGGCAATACTGGGGCAGAAGGAAAGCTGTTATTGGAGTCTGCTGTTTCTGCCAGCAACACCTCCTTCCCTCAACCTGATTCTCACAGAATCATAGAATCACAGAACAGTTGAGCTGGAAGGGGCCAGAGGGCTATTGGGTCAGTGCCCTGCTCAGTGCAGTCCCAGTTAAACCATCCCTCTCAGAAGGCTGCCCAGTTGCCTCTTGAGAGCCTCCAGCAAGGGGGAGCCCACAATCTCCCTAAGTCATTGGTTCATTGTCATACTGCTCTAACAGTCAGGAAGTTCTTCCTGATGTTCAGCCAGAACCTGGCTTCCTGTAACCTGAGCCCATTATTCTGTGTCCTGCACTCTGAACTTTTTAACACAGGTTAAAAGGCATGGAAAATGAAGCCCCTGTCCCTAAAAATATGAGAAAATTGTACAGCATGTTTCTTTCAGGGCTGAGTCTCCAAATATGTGCATATTTGGTTGTAATAAAGGTATTGCCTGACTTTTTATATTTTTCATTAGTTTGTATCCCATACAAAATAATAGAACACACCAGAACCACACTGTATGGCAGGGGTCCAGAACCTTGGGCCAGGAAGCTGAATGTGGTGGTTCCTCAGATTTTGTACAATCCCCAATTCTAAAAGTTGAAATGTCCCTCCCAAGGTTTACTTCTAGCAGTCAAAGCTGCCAAACTAAAAGATGCTGGAAATGTTTGCTATTTTAGCTGTAAAATGTTTGATATTTTGCTTGTGGCCCTCCCCACAACTAGCAGGAAGCCCTCAAGAGATTCTTTGAAATTGTGTTTGGTCTTCAGGCTGTAAGAGGTACAATATGCCTCCAGCATGGGGCATATTGTATATAGAGATGGATGATGCAGTGAGTAAGCACTGCAGGTCAGCCGTGATGCATGTTAGAACAGTGCTAAGAATCCCATACCTGTTTAGGAAGAGAGCACATGTAGGGTGAGCCCTTACAAGAAACTAGGAACAAATAAATGAGTTGCGATAGTGGAAAACATTATCTTCTTATATTAAAGTTTCTCATGGCTGTGTTTTAACATTTAATGAACCCAATGATGGCCACATATTTTATTTTTAATGAAACAATAAAACCTTGCTAAGCTATTAAAGGTGCAATCCTGTACACGTTTAGACAGAGATAAGTCTTACAACTCCCTGCATGGCTAGCTGGAGGATGGTGGGGAGTGTCCAACTTATTTCTGTCTGAACATGCATGAGATTATGCCATTAAATATTAAAGCCACTAAAAGCAATTTGGAAGGCAAGTCTTACATTTTTTGAAAAGCCCAGAGAATCTGGGGATGATCCTGGCAGTCTGTAACTGTATTTCTCAACCCTGTGCCCTCCAGACTTCTAGTATGCCTCAACCAGGCTGGGCAATACTGGTTTATTTGGGTGTGTTTGTCTCTGCATGCACACCCCTATTACAACTGCTTGCCATAAAAAGAATTGTGACTAGTAGCTGGCCTTTTAACGAAATAAAGTTCCATTATTATGGTGTATCACAAAAGAGAACAAAGATATATACTATTTGACTTTGTACTGTAATTTCTGTTTCTGCTAAACACAGGAGGAATAAGCAGAGATAAACTTCTTGCCTTTTAAGTGTTCTGCTGAGTCACACAAAGTGCTGTGTAAAACATTCATAAACATTCATAAATACACAAATGGCAGAAAAATGGCATACAGTCTCCTGTTTTGGTAGAGAGGTGGAGTATAAATCAAAACAAATAAGGGTGCAATCTTACGTACATTAGACAGAAGAAGGTCCTGCACCTCTTTGGCTGGCTGGGGAATGCAAAGAGTTGTTAAGACAGAAAAAGATCATAGTGTATACATAGAATTGTGCCTTAAACCTATTATAGTCACTGGGGTCCCCACCCTCTCACTGATCCATCCTTATGAAAAAGCAGATGGAGGTATGGACTAGGCCACATCAAATTCTTGATTTTTAAAATTGGTTTTTAAGCAAACCAATCAAAATTAATGCTTCCTGGACTAATATGTGGATTGGAGCACAGTTATTCCTTGGAATGTGCACTTCTGCACTCAGAATTTACACACAAAAATCCATTAGGGAAATTATTTAAAAAGTGTGTGGCATACAAAAGAGGTTAATTCACAGCTAAAAGACACACACTTCCTGGTGGATTTTCTAAACACCACCATTTGGAAGGCTCTTCCACACAGTTCATGCTTTCTGTCCACTCTGAGCCTTTTCCAAGTCTTAGAATGGAGGAGAGGATCATGAATTCTGAAATCCTCACCCTAAGGTGGACCCTTTCCAGACGGCCTAACTGGGCTCAACTACCCATGCTTCAATGCAGATTTTCAAACGGCCATGTTCAGTGGGATTTTTCTTGCCAGCTGTCTCTTTCTTTCTCCTCTAAATACTTTGGAAGCCTCTAGACTTGATGGGGTCTCCAGTTTTTCAAACCCTAACTCTGATGTGTTTTATATTGTTTTAATAATTGAGGTTTTATATTGTGCTTTTATATTTTATATTGTATTTTTATATTTTGTAAGCCATCCTGAGTGTTTGGCAATAAGACGGGATATAAATGCCTGTAATAATGAATGAATGAATGAATGAATGAATGTGAATATTTGTTTAAAATGTCAGACCAGGGCAGAAATGGGACAGAACAAACTGATAACTGAATACATGAACAACTGTGGACTAGGAATGTACCAATTTGTCCATCTTCCCTGCTATAGTGGAATCATATTCCAAGCCCAGGTTTGGACTGCCCAACAACCTGCCATAGTTGGTTATCATAGTTTGGTTGTTGTGTCATACAAACACAGCCTGGGTCACTCGGGATGGGTGTTTTCTTTCAGACAACCACTATGAGAACCCATGAGCTGTGCTACAGTTGTCACCCAGGACCCAACCAGCCATGAATCCAGATAACACAATGGATGAGCCCCAACATCCAGTGAGCCACTTGGTAAGAGTGGCAGAAGTCCCTTGCTACTCTTGACAAGTGCCTGCCAGATAAGCCTCACTCACAGCAACCACCATGTGGCACTTGAGAACTTCTGCCAGAAGCTTTCCTCTGCCCAGGGGGTATGAACTGGCCATCCCTGCTTGTGGATGGAGAGCAGACCTCTCAAACAACTGGCAGGGATGGTCAGAATTTGCTCCCCTTTGCCAGTAGCTTAAGAGGTCTTCTCTGTAGCCTCTAGCAAGGATGGCTTGAATCCACTCCTCCTTGCTGAGAAGGCATGTGTCCATAGGCCAGAAAGGGCAGACCTACTTGCCTGTGGCTCAAGGGCAGACCTCTCCAGCTGCCAGCAGGGCCACTCCATGGTCCTGCCGTGTGCTCCAGGCAGCAACCCAGAGTGGATTGGGCAGAGCAGAGCAGACCTCTCAGGCAGGACTCAGCAGGCTGTTCAGTGGCACTGCCTTCTCCAGGTGGTGCTACCAAGCAGATCAGTCACAGTCTCTTATGTAGAGTGAACAGGAGGTGGGGGAACTGAATTAGCTCCCCAGTCCTCCCTGTTGTCCTCCAGGGGATGAGCTCTGTTTATGTTATGGGTCAAAGAAGAAGAAAGAAGAAGAGGAGTTTCTATAGTCCATAAAGAACTGGTGTCCTGAAGTGCAATAGGGTCAACTTCCAGACTTTGCTGGGGCGATATGCAGGGACTGGAAGGTGATCCCATTCCCCTTCAGGGCACAAGACCTGTCTGCACAATAGGGACTGCCTAACAACTCTAGCAAGCTGAAATCAACTTGCGATCATGGCTGCAGAGAAGTGGTGCATTTGTCCTTGTGGTGTCCTCTGAGATACCACCTGAAAGAATGAGAGGGAAAAAGGAACAAAGCAATGAGCTTGATCTTGTTGGTCTTATCAAAGAACAGTCTGCCCACCTTGATTTATTGCTACGGTGGGTTGGTATGCTGTGCAAACTCAAAGCATTAGGATAAATTACAACACGATCCAAAAGGCACAGCGAGATAGGGAAAAGGTCAAGTATAAAGGTCTCAATCCAGATGAAATCAGGCTCAGGCAGGAGCAGTCAAGATACAATCAAGGGTCAAAACACAGTTTAGCAGTCAGGTACAATACACAATCCAGAAGCAAAGGCAAGCAGAAATCTGAGGATCAGTAGTAGCAGAAAGGCTGAGTCACAAGGCAAGGTCAGGAAACCAAGATACAAAGCTCAGAGCTAGTAAAACTATGTCATTCCTCTACCAGCTAGGCTAGAACTGAAGCATTCTATAGCTAGAGCTTCCTGAGTGCCATCCAGGGTTAGCTGCAGTGTATTACAGGTTGTCTGGCAAAAGCCCTACTCAAGTGGAGGGCTTTCCTGTCAAGGGGTCCTCTCTTCTAGATGAGCCTTCCTTTGTAATCAATCATTTCTTCGCAGAGGAGCCCTGTTGGTCTGGCTCTTGAAGCAATAACCTTTTGGGGTGCCAAGTGGTCACCCAACCTCTGTCTCAGAGGTGGAACTGCTTTCTTTCTCTGTGGACAGATGGACAAGTGGTCATCTCCCCTACAGGCCCAGGCTCCCCTGGATCTCTTGACTTGGGAGGGGGCAGGAATTGCTTGACATTGGCTGTCTCTGGGACTTCTTTCTGTGCCTTAGAGAAGGATTCCTCCAGTAGGGACATGACATCAACTTAACATACAGATGAGACCGACACCCCTGTAAGTGGGCCTGGCTGGGAAAACAGGTGTTTGAAGCAAAGGTAATGGAGTGGAGTGAGGTAAAAAGGGAGACATGGAAGAGAGTTTAAGTTCTCTATCCATATGGAAATACAACTCTTTCCCTGATATATATGAAACTGAGTCTATTTGATTGTGACCTGCTAAATGAGGCAAGAGATCGTTGGATAAAACCTTACATGCAGGACTCTAGATGCAATTGAATAAATTGAGGTTTCTTTTGGCAGGAGCGGATTTTAATATTACACTGGCAGTTGCCAGGTTCTTTCCTCAGTCAATTAAAATTTAAAATTTTTATATCATATAGATGCACCTATCAATAAACTCTTTTATCTTCAGTCTTAGCATGACATCGCTCAGAGCTGAATTGGCTGTATGAGCAGTATCCTTAAAGTAAAGGTATTATAAACTATTTATGTGATTGAACAGATGTCAACGGATGGGCTGTCCTCTCATGTCTTGTTTGATCTAAGCGATCTGTTGTCAAATATCTTTTTCATGCAAGCAGACCTGCTATTTGAAAAACACAGAGCTCCCACCATGTCACAGATGAAATCCTGGTGGACTTATCACACCTCTTTTCTCAGCAAAGAGGATCCTTGGTTGGGTGTCCTCTGTCCCTCAGCACATAGGTACTCCCTTAAGCTATTTTCTGGATGCTCTTTGTTTGTGCGGCAATCAATTCATATGGCATTTACTTACCCTGCAATATTTTTTTCTGCAGTAGTTTCTGATTCTGACACAGGTGTGTGAGGGCTAAACAAATGTGACATTAAATAACCCTTTGCTTTTAACTTGTGTAGTCTCAATGCAACATGCTGGTCACAATCTTCAACTTCCCAAATGGCTTGGGACTCAGCTATGAACAACCACCTGCATCTGTATAATCCTGCCCAGACACTAAAAACTACATCAGGTGTCCTTCTCAAGTGAAATCGCTTAAGTATGTATGCATGCGATATAAGGCCTTCTCAGCACTGGCCCCTATATGGCCTTCCTAATGATGTATGCCCAGACCCTTGAGCCTTTAAATGAATTCATAAATGGCATCACAAAGTATTCTCTGACCTACAGGAGCTGATTTTAGTATCGAAACGTGTTCCTGTGTATACTGTTTGTGAGGTTATGACCTCAAAAAGTGGCTAATTTTAAAAAAATAAACAAAGAAATTAATGCATAAACAAAGAAGGGGGAAATATTTGATTGGTACCAAGCTATCAAAAGGACATCAAGATGTTCATGGCCACTGCGTCAGAGAACAATCCTAATGCTAGAAGGATATGCATTGTTCTTTTAGCTTCACTGCAGTCAGCAATAATTTTTTATCTAATGTAATCTGCCTGCATGCATGGTGGTCATGTGGATCCAAATTCCGTACTATCTGTCCCTGCTCTCAGAATATGCCAGAGCTGTCATTGCATAGAACAGTCCTGTATTTTAATCTGATTTCCTGTAATCCCCCTGTGCCAAGGCTACCTCTGTCAGGATGGTCTGTTTGTCATGAGAAAAGGCTTCTCAAATGGTTCAGGAAACTGGCAGAAAGGAAAAGGGATGGAATCTTTTTCCAGAGGCCCTTCTCTAGCTGGAGGAGGAAGGAAAATTTTAGCAGTGGCACCTTAACTGTGGAATATTCTCCCCAGGTGGTCCATCCCTGCATATATTTTATTGTCACTTCATGGCCTAGTGCTGACCTTTTATTTGGCCAGGCCTTTAGATCTGTCTTAGCTTTATGTTGTTTTTACTTTGCTCGTACTTTTTGGTTTTTATAGTTACTGAATTTTGTATCGATTTATTTCTTGTGAGCTGTCCTGAGAGCTCTTTTGTAGAATCATCCATGATTACTGTTGATTTTGTTGCTGTTACCATGCACCATAAATTCAGCTCACAGTGAGGCAAACCTGAACATCTTAGATCATGCCTTCTGAGTTACACAGAAGTGGAAATATTTTAAAACCCAATCTCTCTCTCTCTCTCTTGGGCTCATAATTCACATATTTCTACAGGTACCAAAAAACCCAACCAAACACAGATGACAGTAACAAAGATTGAGCTTTTTCTATCTTAAGGTTGGAGGAGTTGTGGGATGAATTCACCAATTTGCTTGGGGGAAGCATATCCTGTGTTCAATCATTTTGCATCCTACAACTTCCTAACTCCAAAATTAGGTCCAATTATGTTTGCGCTGGAGTGCCTTCACAGTTAAGTGGTCTGATGACGGTAAAGAACGTGTGGCTCGGATGTATTCTTACCAATAAATGTATCTGTAAAACGATTTGTAAGAGGCAGATAATTAAAGTTTGAATCATGTACCATGTTGTAGGCAATACTTACAAGAGATTATATGTTTGGCAAGAGATAATGGCCAAACTTTGTGACTAATACGGAAAGGGCTGTGTGTGTCCCAGTGTTTTTCTTTAGCTATTTGATAATGTTGTCCTTTTAAGCATGGAGAGAAAACAAGGCACTCTGTGATTAACTCTGACCTCTGCCTGCTATAATGTTTGCATCTGCAAATTTCAAAATCTAACATTTTTCTTATCAATTCATCCATTACTGCACATGACAACCAGGATGCTCAAACTATCAGGGTTACTGTGCCTTAACACAAACACAACACAGCCTGCAGTTTTCCTTGAGGTTGATTAGTCATTATCAGGTGTTCAGACCAAAACAGGCAAGCAGAAAGTAGGCTGAGAGACTGGATATAGGTGGGCAGATGAGTTGGTAGCCAGGAGGCTGTGGGAGTAGATTTAACCCTAGAATATTCTGGTCTTTTTGGCCTTGTCCCTTCCACCTTCAGCTCTGCCCACCACTGAATTTCCAGAGAGCTTTCCTGCCATGGAATTCAGCCCCTGTGCTGAAAAAGGTCCAGTGGTCTAGGTATGAAGTGAAGGCATTGCTCCCTCATATCAATGAGCGTCCCAAACAAAGAAAAACAGGCCTCTGCATCCCTCAGGAGCCCCAGATTAGACATCACGTGACTTCCCAGGCCGGGAGGACCATGGAGTGCTGTGGCAAGCTCCCAGCAGGAATAGCCCGTAGCTGTCTTTACATAGAGCTGAAAGCCAGTGCCTGATCAACAGGGCTCAATAACATTTACTCCTACCTTTGCATGTACTGCTGGTAGCTGCCGACACATCTTGCAGCAAATGCTGTGTGTGTTAAAATAACACTCGTATCACCTTGCTATTTCTTCTCTGCTGCTTTCTTCTATCACTAGACAAAGTTTAAAGGGAACAAGCTCCAGCTATTAAAATAGCTCCTACCAGCCTCATTTGGTCTATTTCAGGGCCTGGTTTGACATATATAGGATAGAGTGTTCTTGTGGGAACTGAAGCCACAAGAAATCATCATTCAAAGGAAAACCAGCTCCTGTTGAACCTGGAGTGATTCCTTTTCAGCACGTCGCCACACTTTCCTTAAAATAAATTGTGACTATTATTGTTTCTCTTTGGCTTCCTTCCTTCCTTTCGTTTGATTTGTTAGAAAGTAGCAGTGAAATGGTTGATAATAATGCAATGATTGCATGTATCCTTAATCTAATGGAGTTTTAGCTGGGAATTCTATAGTAACTGTTAGAATACAATAAACCAATACATGCCAATTTTGGAAGGCTGCGTCCTGAGCGCTTATGCATCTCATTTACAAGTATGATTTTAAACTAAAGTCAACAAAATCAATCCTTGAACACCAGGATACATTTAATATAATATTAAAGAATCCACTTAGTCTACAAAATATCACTGTTTGGGACAGTGACCACCTTACATGAAAATAATGCAGGAAAAGAATACGGGGTATACACATACGGGGTATGTCTCCGTATACCATTATCCTGACATTGTGATGAATTAAGCCTTGCTTGCTTGTCATTAAGTGTACATATATGTACAAATCAGAGAGGGACTGGATAAGGGCAAAGAAACTGAAAGTTAATCCCAACAAGATGAAATATTGTTAAATAAGAATATATATCAAGAGTAGCTCCTTCATGGATCACTGCCTTGTTGTGGCGAAGGGGCTTGTGTAGCTCAATGAAGCTATGAGCTATGCAATGCAGGGCCACCCAAGATGGACAGGTCATAGCAGAGAGCTCTGACAAAATGTGATCCACTGGAGAAGGAAATGGCAACCCACTCCAGTATCTTTGCCATGAAAACCACATGGATAGTACCAAAAGGCAAAAAGATATGATGCCGGAAGATGAGCCCCTCAGGTCAGAAGGTCTCCAATATGCTACTGGGGAAGAGCAGAGGGCTAGTACTAGTAGCGCCAGAAAGAATGAAGTGACTGGGTCAAAGCTGAAAGGACACTCAGTTGCTGATGTATCTGGCGGTGAAAGGAAAGTCCGAAGCTGCAAAGATCTGTACTCCATAGGAACCTGGAATGTAAGCTCCATGAATCAAGGCAAGCTGGATGTAGTCAAACAAGAGATGACAAGACTGAACATCGACATCTTAGGAATCAGTGAACTAAAATGGACAGGAATGGGTGAATTTAATTCATCAGGTATACTACTGCGAGCAAGAATCCCTCAGAAGAAATGGAGTAGCCCTCATAGTCAATAAAAGAGTAGGAAAAGCAGTACTGGAATACAATCTCCAAAATGACAAACTGATCTCAGTTTGAATCTGAGGAAAACCATTCAACATCACAGTAGTCCAAGGTTGTGCCCCAACCACTGGTGCTGAAGAGGCTGAAGTTGACCAGTTCTATGAAGGCCTACAACACCTTCTAGAATTAACACCAAAAAATGATGTCCTTATCATCATGGGGGATTGGAATGCTAAAGTAGGAAGCCAAAAGATTACCAGAGTAACAGGCAAGTTTGGCCTTGGAGTACAAAATGAAGCAGGGTACAGGCTGATAGAATTTTGTCAAGAGAATACGATGGTCATAGCAAACACTCTTTTCCAACAACCCAAGGGACGACTCTACACATGGACATCACCAGACGGTCAACGCAAAAATCAGATTGACTATGTGCTCTGCAGCCAAAGATGGAGAAGCTCTATACAGTCAGTAAAAACAAGACCAGGAACTGACTGTGGCTCAGATCATGAGCTTCTTGTTGCAAAATTTAGGCTTAAATTGAAGAAAGTAGGGAAAAGCACTAGGCCGCTCAGGTATGACCCAAATCATATCCTTGATGAATATACAGTAGAGGTTACAAATAGATTTAAAGAATTAGATCTGATAGACAGAGTACCTGAAGAACTATGGACGGAGGTTCGCAACATTGTACAAGAGGTAGCAACTAAAACCATCCCAAAGAAAAAGAAATGCAAGAAAGCAAAATGGCTGTCTGAGGAAGCTTTACAAATAGCTGAGGAAAGAAGGGAAGCAAAAGGCAAGGGAGAAAAGGAAAGATACACCCAATTGAATGCAGAATTCCAGAGAATTAAATGAACAGTGCAAAGAAATAGAAGAAAACAATAGAATATGGAGGACCAGAGATCTCTTCAAGAAAATTGGAGCTATGAAGGGAACATTTCATGCAAAGATGGGCATGATAGAGGACCAAAATGGCAGGGACCTAACAGAGGCAGAAGAGATTAAGAAGAGGTGGCAAGATTACACAGAAGAACTATACAAGAAAGAGCTTAACATCCCTGATAACCATGATGGGGTAGTCACTGACCTCGAGCCAGACATCCTGGAATGTGAAGTCAAATGGGCCTTAGGAAGTCTGAGCAACAACAAAGCTAGTGGAGGTGACAGTATTCCAGCTGAGCTATTCAAAATCTTAAAAGACGATGCAGTAAAAGTGCTAAACTCAATATGCCAGCAAATTTGGAAAACTCAACAGTGGCCACAGGATTGGAAAAGGTCAGTTTATATTCCCATCCCAAACAAGGGCAATGCCAAAGAATGTTCAAACTACCGCACCATTGCACTCATTTCACATGCTAGCAAAGTTATGCTCAAAATCCTATAAGCTAGGCTCCAGCAGTATGTGGACCGAGAACTACCAGAAGTACAGGCAGGATTTCGAAAAGGGAGAGGAACTAGAGATTAAATTGCCAACATACGCTGGATCGTGGAGAAAGCTAGGGAGTTCCAGAAAAACATCTACTTCTGCTTCATTGACTATGCTAAAGCCTTTGATTGTGTGGTTCACAAGAAATTGTGGCAAGTTCGTAAAGAGATGGGAGTACCAGACCATCTTATTTGTCTCTTGAGAAACCTATATGCGGATCAAGAAGCAACAGTGAGAACTGGACATGGAACCACTGATTGGTTCAAAATTGAGAAAGGAGTTTGGCAAGGCTGAATACTGTTGCCCTGCCTATTTAATCTATATGCAGAGCACATCATGAGAAAAGCAGGGCTAGATGAATCACCAGTTGGAATTAAGATTGCCGGTAGAAATATCAACAACCTCAGACATGCAGATGATACCACTCTAATGACAGAAAGTGAAGAGGAACTAGAGCCTCTTGATGCGGGTGAAGGAGGAGAGTACAAAAGTAGGCTTGAAACTCAACATTAAGAAAATTAAGATCATGACATTCGGTCCTCTCACTTCCTGGCAAATAGATGGGGAAGAAATGGAGGTAGTGACAGATTTTATTTTCCTGGGCTCCAAGATCACCGCAGACAGGGAATGCAGTCAAGAAATTAAAAGACGCTTGCTCCTGGGGAGGAAAGCTATGGCAAATCTAGACAACATACTAAAAAGCAGAGACATCACCCTGCCAACAAAAGTGCCAACAAAAGTCAAGGCTATGGTTTTCCCAGTTGCAATGTATGGCTGTGAAAGCTGGACCATAAGGAAGGCTGAGTGCCGAAGGATTGAGGCCTTTAAATTTTGGTGCTGGAGGAGACTCCTGCGAGTCCCTTGGACCGCAAGGCGATCAAACCGGTCAGTCCTAGAGGAGATCAACCCTTACTGCTCTTTAGAAGGCCAGATCCTGAAGATGAAACTCAAATACTTTGGCCACCTAATGAGAAGGAAGGACTCCCTGGAGAAGAGCCTAATGCTGGGAACAATAGATGCCAAAAGAAGAAGGGGATGCCAGAGGATAAGATGGCTAGATGAAGTCACTGAAGCAGTTGGTGTGAGCTTAGGTGGACTCCGGGGGATGGTGGAGGAGGCTCTTTGTGAATGGGACGGCATAGAAATTTTTTAAATAAATAAATAAAAGGCCTGGAGGAATGTTGTCCATGGGGTCGCAATGGGTCAGACACGACTTCGCAACTAACAACAACATCAAGAGTAGATATGTAGCCTGGATTGAACAATCTTAATCCATAAGATTGATGTTTATAGTTTGGTCATTTAGTTATAGAGCACAGCTCTTGAATGATCACTGACCCTATTTCTGCCACCCTTTGCTTTTGTGTCTCTCCTATCCTTCACAATGGTGTTTCTTTTGTCATCAATATTGTTGCTTGTTGCTACAGGAATTGTTTTTAGCAATGGAAATATTTCATTATGTGGACTTTAAATTCTTCAGGAATGTTACTTAAGTTATATTTTGCCACGATGTTTCTATTGGTGATCTTTTTTAGCTTGACTCTAATTTTTGAAATTTAGAGCTGATGGTCACTGCTGCAGTCTGCTTCAGGTCTTCTTGTGGCAGTGAAAATACTGCTTCTTCACCTTCTGTTTCCAATTGCATCATGTGTTTGATTTCTGTTCTGGCCATCTGGTGAAGTCTGTGTATACAATCATCAGAGTGGCTGCTTCAAGTATGCGTTTCCAATAAACAGGTAGTTGGCTTTACAAATTCTATGAGTTGCTCACCTGCTTCATTTCTTACACTTAGGTGAAATTTTCCTGCAACACTGGATTCTGCTTTGTTTCCTAGTTTTGCATTCCAGTCACTTTGGATTAGCGGCATGTCTTGTTTTGGTGTGTTTCCTCCTGAACATGTGCATAAAAGTTTTTGATTTCTTCTTCAGTAGCTGTTGTTGGAGTGTAGACCTGAATTATGGTTACGTTGATAGGTATTTCACTCATTATGATTGATTCTGTTTGGTTGGATTTTGCGTTATAGCCTTGTACTGTCTGTGGTACATCTTGCCTCAGTATTACAGCCATTCCATTTCATCTGAGTTTGTCATTTCCAGAGTAAAACACTTTGTTCTTGTTTGATTGGAAATGTCCCATTCCAGACTACTTTAGTTCATTCACACCAAGTACCATGATGTGCATGCTTTCTATTTCTTGCTTTACTATTCCCAGTTTGCCTTGATTCATACTTCTCATGTTCCATGTGCCAATTGTATTTGCTATGCAGCATTGGACTTTTCTTTCACTTCGGTGCATGCTGGCCACTAGACTTCCTTTTGTTTTGATCTAAGTGTGTCATGAACAACAGCACTACCCGTTTTTGTCCTTTGCCCTTTCCCAGTAGCTTGAAAAGTGCTTTCTAGTGGGGGCCTCATCTTCTGGCACTATCTCTTGTTTCCTTTTTGGGTTGTTTCATCATAGGTTTTC